TACCTCTGTACTATTCTGCTATGCTACTCATCATTATGCCGGGCTACTCTGTCGTGCCATTCGACGCTGTCTTTAAGCTGTACTTTTTTTTTTTTGTGAAATTTTGATTCCAATAAATAGTGATATAAAAACGCTGCAAATGTATTTTTTCTGCCGGTATCGCCGTGTGGGTTAGGTGTATGGTAGAGAGCGGAGTTAATTTTGGGGGTCATTTGATTTAAGGTTATGATTTGCTTTAGTCGGTATAGCCGCTGTTAAGATTACTCTAGAAAGACTGGCAACAAGATTGTCGTCGATACGCCTTTAATCTCTGTCTTATTTCCCTGATTTCACTGCATTTATTGACAAATTATTGAACCGATACAGCACACATTAAAAGACAAGTTTATGTTGCTTTAATGATAATCTGAGACGTTGATAGAACAGTCTGTCGCCAACGCCCCCCCCCCCCCGCACCACCACCACAAATATAAATCAACCAATAATCGTCGCGCTAATGTGGATCTTATTGAAAACAACGAGCTTTGCTGTAACCTGCTCGTATTGTTTAGGCGCCATTGTATTTTCCATGTCGGCCCGCGTTTCCGGGCATGCGAGCGATATCTTGATATAACCTCTGTTGTTCTTAATGGTATGATTACTTAAAGGTGTAAATTATTCTTATTTGTAGCTCAATACTGATGCAGTTGTTGTTTTTTTCCATGTGGGCCCGCATTTCCGGGCATGCGCGAGCGACATAACAATTTAATCTCTGCTATTCTTAATGGTATGATTAAGTTAAGGTGTTAATTATTCGTATTTTAAGGTGTTAATTATTCGTATTTGTGGATTAATACTGATGCAGGTTTTATTTCTAACAGCAGAAAATGAATACGATTATTCCAGTATTATGGTGAACATGGCATGAGTTATTAGAAGGTGAAGACGCTAGGAGCATATCTTGGCAATAGACCCGGGAATACGACATTCCTGAGTATCCGTTCCATGCGATCTATAGGCGGGTTTTGGGGGTAAAACCTGTATCTTGGCCTATTGTTGATGTTATTTTTTTCATGTGGATTAAACGTATTGCTTATACTGTTTTGAGCATTCTAGTCTAGACTCAACTTTTTAAAACTGTTTTCGTTTGAAAGCTGGGAGTAATTGTATTTAGTTATTGTTGAAAAAAAAAAACGTTTTTAAAAATAGAGACTTTAAAAAAATTGAATGGTATTTCTCTTGCTATTTGATTAAATATAAATACCACTTGTCTCATAACAAATTGTCAATGCCACTGTTCCTGTCCTATAAAAAACAAAGTCACACAATTTGTCCCATAACAAATTGTCAATGCCACTGTTCCTGTCCTATAAAATAAAAGTCACACAATTTGTCCCATAACAAATTGTCAATGCCACTGTTCCTGTCCTATAAAAAACCAAGTCACACCACCTGTCCAATAACTCAGTGCCACTTCACCTGTCCTATAACTTCAGGTGATTCAACCATACAAACTCGTCACCTGATATCCACAACGCAATCACCCTTATCACACAACCGCTGCTTTTAATAGAACAACACATACCCTTACTTAAGCGCAATAATTCACCCGTGTAATACCCCCCCTCCCTCCTTCTTGTGTTGTCACACACACATACACACACACACACCTATATACTTCAAGGTGACTGTCTATGTCTTTCCCCGGCCTACCTTCTAACCCCCAGGCTCACTGCAGCATGACGTCCACTGTGGAGGGTTCTGTACTCTCGGCGCAGGCATTTGATTTGGTATGACAAAACATGTTTAGTTCCCTGGACGTCCGCGTTATCTTCCTTCCCGTTTCACTTGGGTGTGACATGAGTAAATACGCCGGTAGGCTTCCATCGATCGGTGCCAGTTGTTGACGTGAGATCGTGACGTCGTTCGATTGTGACTGATTTGTTGGTGATACGTGACCTGGTGCTGTAGTGCCCACGTGACTGATTTGTTGGTGATACGTGACCTGGTTTGTGTGTAGTGTCCACGTGACTGATTTGTTGGTGATACGTGTCCTGGTTTTTGTGTAGTGCCCTCGTGACTGATTTGTTGGTGATAGGTGACCTGGTTTGTGTGTAGTGCCCACGTGACTGATTTGATGGTGATACGTGACCTGGTTTTTGTGTAGTGCCTACGTGACTGATTTGTTGGTGATACGTGACCTGGTTTTTGTGTAGTGCCCACGTGACTGATTTGTTGGTGATACGTGACCTGGTTTTTGTGTAGTGCCCACGTGACTGATTTGATGGTGATACGTGACCTGGTTTTTGTGTAGTGCCCACGTGACTGATTTGATGGTGATACGTGACCTGGTTTTTGTGTAGTGCCCACGTGACTGATTTGTTGGTGATACGTGACCTGGTTTTTGTGTAGTGCCCACGTGACTGATTTAATGGTGATACCTGACCTGGTGCTGTAGTGCCCACGTGACTGATTTGATGGTGATACGTGACCTGGTTTTTGTGTAGTGCCCACGTGACTGATTTGGTGGTGATACGTGACCTGGTTTTTGTGTAGTGCCCACGTGACTGATTTGTTGGTGATACGTGACCTGGTTTTTGTGTAGTGCCCACGTGACTGATTTGATGGTGATACGTGACCTGGTTTTTGTGTAGTGCCCACGTGACTGATTTGGTGGTGATACGTGACCTGGTTTTGTGTAGTGCCCACGTGACTGATTTGATGGTGATACATGACCTGGTTTTTGTGTAGTGCCCACGTGACTGATTTGATGGTGATACGTGACCTGGTTTTTGTGTAGTGCCCACGTGACTGATTTGTTGGTGATACGTGACCTGGTTTTTGTGTAGTACCCACGTGACTGATCTGATGGTGATACATTTGGTGGTGACACATGACCTGGTTTTTGTGTAGTGCCCACGTGACTGATTTGTTGGTGATACGTGACCTGGTTTTTGTGTAGTGCCCACGTGACTAATCTGATGGTGACACATGACCTGGTTTAACATAGTGCCCACCTGACTGATTTGATGGTGATACATTTGGTGGTGACACATTACTTGGTTCAGCATAGTACCCACGTGACTGATCTGATGGTGATACATTTGGTGGTGACACACGACCTGATTCAACGTAGTACCCACGTGACTGATCTGATGGTGATACATTTGGTGGTGACACATGACCTGGTTTTGTGTAGTGCCCACGTGACTGATTTGATGGTGATACATGTGATGGTGACACATGACCTGGTTCAACGTAGTACTCACGTGACTGATCTGACGGTGGTCCATGACCTAATGCTACGTTGTGCCAACATGTCTAGTCTGATTGCTGATGCATCTTGATTTGGAAATGATGGGGGGGGGGAGACACGACTGTTATCTTTAGAGTTCAGATGTCATATCAGGTGATCTCTGACCTTCCCCCTGCAGCATATCACGTATTGTTTGAAATACCCTGATTGCCCTTCCTATTTCTGTTTAGTAAACTTGGTACTACAACATTGAAGTCACTAGTAGAAATAGTACTACGACATAGATGTCCCTAGCAGACGTACTACAGCATTGACGTCCCTAAGTAGACGTTGTACTACAGCATTGACGTCTCCAACCATTTAACTCACTACTTTGACCTAGGCCTAGATACTCTCAGTTGTTTACTGCCTTAACCCCGATCCTTAGCTCAAACCTTAACCATTGCGAGTGGAGCTTAAGTTTAATAAAAAATCACACAAATCAGTAAACACACAAATACAACATGAGTAAACACAGAAATCTTAAGTCTGTAAACATATGTAAAAAAACAACAACACCTGTCACCTATCCCATTGACTCCCCTTGATTTATACGACACCCCCTGATTAAACGTCTTTGTCGTGATCAGAAAATAACAGCCGTGTGGCAACCCCCCTCTCCTACCTCACCCCCAATCCCGCCCCCATGTAGACAACCGAGCCATTAACCCGTCCGCATTTCATTCAGTCTGACTTTCTAATTATAGTCTTGTACCGGTACGTTCTCAGCACTACCTGTTTTCCGGCGACAGTTGGTGTATAAAAGTAGGCTAAATATCTCCGATAGGTTGTATAGAAATATAAGAATCTAATTGCTGTATGGTATATACATATACATATACATATACATATACATATACATATACATATACATATACATATACATATACATATACATATACATATACATATACATATACATATACATATACATATACATATACATATACATATACATATACATATACATATACATATACATATACATATACATATACATATACATATACATATACATATACATATACATATACATATACATATACATATACATATACATATACATATACATATACATATACATATACATATACATATACATATACATATACATATACATATACATATACATATACATATACATATACATATACATATACTTATACTTATACTTATACTTATACTTATACTTATACTTATACATATCTGTGTAAGACGATAGTTGATCGTTAACAAAAAAAAGGCGTTAGTGTTAGAACTAATCAACGCACGTTGTCTAGACCCTGTCAACGTTGTGTAATGTCTACATTCTGAAGTGTCAACGTTTTGTTTTGTCCACGTTCTGTATTGTCAACGGTCTGCAGATAAGGAACACCTTACACGCGGACAGCCTAAAACGTAACCATGGAGTGACAAGAATGTATGTGTTGCATTTTTTTTTAGTTAATTTATTTCTCTCCGTAGAGTGCGCAATGAAAAACGTATTTTGAAATCACTGAAACAACCGTCATGAAACTGATTCCTAAACCATTTATTATTAATCTCATGTCATGATTGTATTGTTTTTTTTTTCTTCTTCACACGACTTGCGTAGTTTAGCAATAGTTTTGGATGCATTATTCAGCGCTAATTTTGTTTTAACTAGTTCGCTAGTCACGGTTCGTTGAAGACTATCTGCATATAGTGGCCCTGTCTTACATAAACGTAGGGCATAGCGTCTGTTGACTCGATCATGGCTAGGAGACGATTGTCTACGGTAAGAGAGACATTCTTTTGGTGTGAGGTTTTTAAATATATATATATATATATATATATATATATATATATATATATATATATATATATATATATATATATATATATTCTCTGTTGATTAAAAGTGGGTTTTTATTCAATTCACTTTATTCAGTTCAATGACTTTCTGTTTTGTATATTCAGTATTATTATTAATTTTATTCTAATCAACCCCTTTCTTTTGTTCAGTAGGTTTTCATATAGTTGTATTTAATATTGCACTGACGTTGTATAATATTCAATACAATATACATTATTTATTAATTTACTTGTTACAAAGAATGTAATAACGATGTGAAGTCCTTAATTGATAACCAATAAGTCTCAAGTTCGATTTCCGCGTTTGAATCCATTACATGTCCACCTCAGCTCTGTTTGGTACCTGGCACGAGTTGAGGAAAGTTAAAGTGGTTGGGCACTTTTTATTTACATGCCGAGATAAGATAGCGATTAACATTGAAAGGTCTGAATGTGTGGGTAGATAAATGTTAACTTAAGGAGAATTAACGCTTTTATTGAACACTAAACTGCAATTAAGTTATACAGGATATGTTTCATCGCCACAACTAAAGCAAGACTAGGGGGTCAGTATAATGGTCATTTACTATCTCTCAGTTGTAGTGTATACATTATACCCACTTGACAACCGTGCGATGTCTTCTATGCTAGAACCGGGAATCGAACCCTAGGCTTGTGGGTTAGCACTCACCCAATCTACCGCTCGACTCATCATTAACTGAAGTGACACGGCGCATGATAGTTCACCTCTTGACGTTCCTGAAATGTGCAGTTGCAGTTTCGGAAGCCTGGGGTTGTCAGGCCATCTGGACACAGGTCACGTGGGACTGGCCGTTGGACTGACCCCCCAAGGTTGAGGTCAAGGCGAGTTAGTATCTGTTGCCGTGGGCCAATCGCAGCGTCCCACGGGATCTTAAAGTAAACAAAGGCGGGACTCGGTGCGTTTATAACGTGTATAAATTAGCACTTGATTGAGGCGCGCGCGTAATTAGGACGCAAGGCTCTTCACCCCCCGCTTAGTAGTGCCGTAGTCAGACGCCAGGGAAAGGCTGTTATTTATAGTCAGGCTGAGCTGTTTTTTTATGGTAAGATTGGGATGGCTTTAATTAGTCAGATTCTTCCTGGTCGAGCTTAAGGTAGCTTTACTTAATTGTACGTTTTTGTCTAGGTAAAGACTTGATTTTTGTGAGTTGAAATTTGTTTTAGAATGTGTTTATGACAGCTTCTAGATCTAATTGCTTTACTTAAGTGTACGTTTTTATCAAGGTAAAGACCTGATTCTATTTGTTTGAGAATGTGTTCAAGTTCATGATAACTTCTGATAGCTTTACTTAATCAATTGTAGGTTTTTATTATGGTAAAAAGTTGATTCTAGCGAGTAGTAATTTGTTTTAGAATGTGTTCATGGTATATTCTGATGACTTTACTCTTGTTGGATTTTTATCGTCGTAAAACTTTTTTCCCCACTGTAGCCTTTGATGGCTTCACTTAATTTTGCATTTTTGTCATGGTAATACTTAATTAGAAATGGCCTTAATTAATTGTGGATTGTTTTAATTAGACTTAATTCTAATGGCTTTAATTTATTGTGGATTTTTAACAAGGTAAGATTGAATTCTATGGCCTTAAGTAGTTGTGGATTGTTTGAATCAAATTCGATTCTAACGACCTTAATTAATTAAAAGTTGTTTTAATCAGACTTGATTTTAATGGCTATAATTAATTTTTTGTTTGTATTATGGTAAGACTTATAATGGCTTTAGCTAATAGTTAATTTATACCACGATAGACAATTGTTTTTCCATTTTATTGTGCACAGTTAAAGAATATAGTCCTGTCTGTATTTATTTTAAAACATTCCCTTTTTTCCCCTATCCAGTATTGTTATTTGTTTTATTAAGAAATTGATCCTTCTGCTGACGACATTTGCGATTCAAAGATAAATATTTTAATAGTGTTTTTATTTCATTTTAATCAATGTACTACGTAGGTGTAATGGATACACCAGCCCCATGCGCGTAAGTCGGGAATAAATGTATGTACAGCATTGTTTCAGCTGAGCCATCGCCGTACGAAACACAACAACAACGGGAGATAACTCGCTAGTTTACACGGGAGTTCTGTCCCCTGGTGTTTCTTGTGTTTACGTGTTGGGCGTGACGCGGGCCTGTCACACACGACTGACGTTTGAGATGAATCGGTAGCCAGTAAAACACATATACACATATTGTGTTTTTTTATACACATAGTTAAAATGTGTTTATTATGAAGAGCGTTCAAGTAATTAGTGAAAGGGGGTGTAGAATCAACCAGAGGCGTAGCGACCCTTCCCGGCGCCCGGGTACAAACTTTATATTTGGCGTGCCCCCCGCGGAAACAAACTTTAAATGTTGGCGCCCCCCCCCCATATATTTTTTTATATTTATAATGCAAAACTGCAGCTAAAATGAATTTTAATTTTTTTTTCCAACCCATTTTGGCGCCCCCTAGGATCGGCGCCAGGGGACATATTTACCCCCTCGCTACGCCCCTGGAATCAACCCGGAACACCTCTTAAAAGAGCATGTCGTGCTAGTACATGCATGACTAGATCCGCTATCGAGTTTGCTTGCAAGACTGTCATTCTATTGGGTTGGGTCTCGACAATACTAGGCCAATTGTTTTTACTTAGCGTCTACCCAACCCGCTATGATAAATACATTCATGTGCAGTCAATAACCACGACGCACTGATAGCTTGGTAGGTAATTCAATTAAACCTGTGCGTTAAATCAACAATAATTTGCTCGCCTTTTTCCACGTGTCCAAGTCAGCTATTAATAGATTCTGTGACGTGTATTGTTACGCCTACTACATCAGATTGCCGTGACCTGGCGTTGTATTTACCTTTGCTAACTACCTCCCATACACCGAGTCTCTTTTGTTATCAGAGTTAGATCGTGTCGTATTTACCTCATGTTTTCTACCGCCCTTACCTGGCGACGTATTTACCTTTGTATATCACTTCCGTTACCTCACGTCTACCATTGTCTACCACGTCCGTTGCCTCACGTCTACCATTGTCTACCACGTCCGTTACCTCACGTCTACCTTTGTCTATCACTTCCGTTACCTCACGTTTACCTTTGTCTATCACTTCCATTACCTCACGTCTAACTTTGTCTATCACTTCCGTTACCTCACATTTACCTTCATGTACCACGTCCATTACCTCACGTTTACCTTTATGTACCACATCCGTTACCTCACGTTTACCTTTATGTACCACGTCCGTTACCTCACGTCTACTTTTGTGCACCAAGTCCGTTACCTCACGTTTACCTTTATGTACCAAGTCCGTTACCACAGGATATATTTACCTGTGTTTTGGACAACCAAAATGAAAATCAATCCCCTCTCAGTTCGAAGGCTATAAAAATCAAACCCGTATTGCCTATTCAGTTTACGCCGTCTGTTCCACACTAAGTCCACATTCTTATACAATCTATTCCCACCCAATCATTGTTATTGATTCCTTTTATTTTACTGTGTAGTTTTAGATGATCGCCGGCATGTGTTTAGCCTACTTCTGAAGCCGTGCCTAAGATAGTCGTGCTTATCTCTAGTACAAATCTGGTCTGTGACTTGAAGGTTGAAGCAACCAGTGTTTATCCGTAACAGGCTGGGCTTGGTACCTCACGTTTTCCAGCACTCAGGGTGGGCCCGTAGTACCCTAGTGGTAACCACCCATTTAACGTCACCTGGCTGTAAATCGTGTAAAACTTGAGGCGACTGGAGAGATAGCCTAGGGCTGTCTTGATAAAGAGCGACCGTCTAACGAGGTATTTGTATTCCATGTGGATATCGGTACAAGGAGTTAATAATGGTAGAAACGTGAGTTTGACTTTTAGTCTGATGTATTTAAAAAAAAATAGCTTTAACATTATTAAGTATATTTTAACAACACTAGCTTCTTCGCAGTATTTCTATTTCATTATTATAAACGGTAAAATTGTTTAATAATCTGTTATAAATTGCTTCGTTTTTTATTAAAAAACACATGTACAGACTATTAAGCCTACATTATTAATCACTACTTCTAAATATGTTTAATATTCGATGAAAAATTAAAGTATTTAGATGAACCCGTATGTGTGTATTTGAGGTACGGGCCTATCTGCTAGTACACACCATAAAGAGATTGTCGCACTCCGAACTTTGGTCTAAATAGCATGTACGGAACTGTAGAGTCTAGAACTGCACATTACAAGTGTACAGATATTAAGAATTGAGATCTAATCTTAGGATCCTCTGACGCACATACATGGGTAGTTCTATACATATTTAGTGGCATTTTTTTTACTTGACCTTACATGCAGCGTTTAATAAAATACCGACGCCCTTCATTTCATAAAGATTAGACCTTGAAATATTTTTTTTAAGTTGGACTAAAGAATGTTCTTGAATAGCTTCAATTAAAAAAAAATCCAAATTTTTTATAATGTAAAACACGAATTCGATCAATGTTTCGTGTTAGATCACGTTACAAATAAAAATACTTTCTCTTTTACAACACTTAAGGCACGTCGTAGTAGTGTCAACTACCGTGTTTCATTTGAATAACCATACATGTTTTTTTTATCTATGTATTGATCACACCATCTGTATACTGTCATCGTCTTTTTAAAAATTCAATACAAAGTCTTGATCTGTAGAATCTATTAGTATTTGTTGTCTTCATGACAGAGCTTATTCATATGAAATTTATGTACATATATATATATATATATATATATATATATATATATATATATATATATATATATATATATATATATATATATATATATATATATACATATACATACATATATATATATATATATATATATATTATATATACATTTTATATATATATATACATACATATATATATATATATATATATATATATATATATATATAT